TCATAAAACAAACATAATTAAATTCATTAGACGAAAAAATGTTCCATATGGTATAAGAATTAAATCAATAAACAATATGACACTCCACATTCAACTGTGGAGTACAGACCACACTTGCTTTATCAAACCGACCCAGTATTTCTCATGACCCACAATCTATGCAAGAATTCATTAGTCTAGCCAATGAGCCAAGGGGTTGTGATTCCAGTTTGTGGATTTCAGATTCTCTCTTAAAGACGTATATCAAGGTCACCTAGACTTGATACGACCACAACTCCTATGATGAGTAGTGGTATCTCTTGCACATGCATAAGCTTCAGCCTGAAAGGTGGTTCCCTTTTTTAAAATGACTATCATATATGCATGCCATGTAAAGGTATATGAATGAGGCTTTAGCCCCCGTCTCTGAAGGCCACCATCACACACAAGGGTCACACAGTCCATTCTCTCACTCATCCGGAGATACTCCAACTTCATCAAGGGATGACCTATTAAAACCCTTATCGGATAGTTTTCTATGTCCAAGTAACATAAGTTTTTTCCAACCGACTGGCTTTGTTTGTAAAGCTCAGTTTAATATCAGTAAATATTATTTACTTAGTATAGTCTACGAGAGACCACACTTTCATTGAATTCATGTTCCAATATATCAAAATATTTTATTACAAGCACTCATAAAGCCTTTAATGACCACACTCACCTAATAAGGCCCGCTTTAAAGACCCATGAAAATGTTGTTTTGATGTTCAAAATCTTTTTAGCAAGTCATCTTGACCTTGGAATGTATACGTTTTCTTTTTCTATTATGAGGGTTTTTGACATCGAAACTTTATCTTTCAACCAAGATTTCGAGGTGTGCCTTATTTTGATTATTTAGGGTTGATGCCTTGTGTAAATTATAATCATATATGCATGTTAGCATTACGTACGGACAAGTATGAATCATCTCTCGCACTCGTGTGAGAAGAAATGAAATCTCTATCTACAATTTGATGGATTATTTCAAG